TCCATTTTATTTGGAAAAAATCAGAATAATGCTTGGCTGTGCCTGTCACGTATCAAGATGTCAACTGTGATGTGTGAATGGCTCTTAAATGTCAAATTATTTAAAAATGTATACTTCTTCTGATATTTATTGCAAATAGTTTGTAGTGTATCTCAATTCACGCTTTGCATAAATAAAGGTACAGCAAGACAGATAATATAATGTTCTTATACAAAGCACTTTTTCATTATATAAAGAGGTAGGATATAATGCTGGTTTTTTTGTAGAAAATTTTTATTATACGATTTTGGATTACATATTCAACCAGCAAATTGTAAATAATAATTAGTAAACTTCTAGTCATATAAATTTCCTCAATAAATAAAATTTAAAAATGTATCTTCTTACCTTGGTACTGAGGTATTTTGTTGTGTTTTTTATTTTAATTATAAAGTTGTAATTTATTTGTATGTTGAAAGAAGGCCTTTGTAAATTATATTGATCTCTATGGATCTACTTTAACACAAAAATACTTTTGTGGCTATAAGTTGCTATAATAACCTATCGTCGCAAAACTATTAATAATTTAAACTTGAGGGGTTATGATTGACAACCTGTGTATGTTATTTTATAAACACACAGAAATAACCTGTTCACAAATAACGTGTCTGTTAAAAATAACATACTTGTTCATCATATCCCCTACAGTAATTACTAATACGTAGTATTAATATAACATCAAGTAATTTTTTAAAATAAAGTACATGATCTTAAAACAGAAATAATTTATAATAAATGCGGGTAAAACGAGGGGTAAAATAACAATAAATTAAGGGGAGTACATAAAAAGGGCAGGTTTAAAGCGTATTATCACAATAAAGTATATCCGTTCTGTTTATTTATCTAGTATTGTTTGAGGTTACTTTTGAATACATTTATTGTTGTTTTTTTTTTTAATTTCTGAAGGCAGTCTATTAAGGTGATTACAGCACCCCCTTATAATTTTCGGACAAGGATATCTCAAAAAGTAATTTTTTTAAAAAACTAAAATTTTGGCAAAATATAATAGGCAATAATATCTAAAATATGCATATATTTTAAAATTTTAATTTCTTCCAGTTTCCGAGAAAAAAAATCAAAGGGCTTTAAATTTTGAAATATCATAATGAAAATAAATGCATTCCTCAACAGCACTATTCTTAATATAATCCCCAAATTTAAGCTCTTAATCTCTTGTAAATGATTTTTTAAAATTCGCCGAAATTAGTGGCTAAAACGCCTTGTTAAGTGCTATTTTCTGGTTTAAACTGGTGTAAACTGGTGTAAGTCGTTGCAAAAAACGAATGATGACTCAGAGTGTACGATACGATAGTTACAGACGCGTTACACTTAACGAGGCGTTTTAGCCACTAATTTCGGCGAATTTTAAAAAATTATTAACAAGAGATTAGGAGCTTAAATTTAGGGATTATATTAGGAATAGTGCTGTTGAGGAATGCATTTATTTTCATTATGATATTTCAAAATTTAACGCCCTTTGATTTTTTTTTCTCGGAAACTGAAAAGAATTAAAACTTTAAAAAATATGCATATTCTAGATATTATTGCCTAATTTATTTTGCCCAAATTTAAATTTTCTAAAAAAATTACTTTTTGAGATATCCTTGTGCCAAAATTATAAGGGGGTGCTGTAATCACCTTAAATTCTTTAAACCTTTAATAAAAATTATATTTTGAGAACTTTTAGTGATGGCTTGCCGTACATCAAAGTCAGATTGGCTTCTTGTATTATAGTTGTGATATTGCGAATTATATTGAATTTTTCTTATAGATCTGATGCGATGGTACTGTCATTTTTATTTTATAAATAAATATCAGTCATATACTGAAATAATTCTAAACTGGAAGACAATTTATTTCTTTTAACATAGTTGCAATACTCATCCTTCTGTCCTTTATTAATATTATATAAATAGGCGAAGTAAGGAGCCCAAATATTTTACATGAGCAGGCTTAAGAGGTAAAGGGGGCAATTATTATTGGATAAATTGCTCAAACAAGTTTGTAAACCCTAATCAAAAGGCGATAGAATGGTTTCAAAAATTAAGGCTTGTGAAAATCACCACATGGTTTAACCTAATTAATGCCAATGCTTCACAAACCAAAAAATTCAACGTCCTAATACTACTATCGGCTTCCGGTCTTTCGTTCCAATTTAAATCATTTCTCGTTTTTGTTACGCTACGAGTTTACCCTTGTGGGCCTCAGTCTCGATAAGGTGAGAACCACCATTTTAGCGTCTTTCGAATTCTGTATTAAATCTATGAAAATTTGCTGCTTTTGCTTTTAATAAATACCTAGTAGTTTTTAAATGTTAGAATTTTCCACCTTTTCCTCTTTAATGTTTAATGTTTTTGGAGAGTGCTGTCTTATCGATGCACAAATTTTAAGCTCTCAATATTCTCGAGACACATAACATCACGAGTATTCTCAGTGGCGCGCATATAAATACAATATTAAGTTAGAAAAACCTTACAACATTATTGCTCTTCATGAGAGGTCCCGTTTGCTCTTAGGCAAAAGTTTAAGAGTGAGGTGACAACATCAATAGTGTAATGATTAAAATTTTTCTCAATCACAAGTTTTTCTTAGGCAGTGAACCTCGCATTATACGTATTCTCTTTTAAATGGTTAAAATGATCTACCCTTTAAACCGGGTACTCAAAATTTAACATTAAAACATTCGACGCTCGAACTAAATCAAGGCCGTATCTCGTTGGAGTGAGTTGAGAAAGTTGAGACATAACTCCGGCGCTATGCTATTTTAGCGTCCTCGGTCGCGCCCGCCAACTAATAATAAAGACCTCCGGTGCACACTCACACACGCCGCGGCTGCTTTTCATCCCCTCGTGACAGTAATGTCCCTAAGTATTTTATCAATTTTATTGTTCCGAAAGCATCAAGATCAGTACTCGAGAGCTATGGGAGAATTTAACTCAACGTGCAGCGGCCGCCATGCTCTCTTTCGTGTCACTTCGTCATTTACGCGACTTGTTTATGGCTCCTTATTTTGAATTTATCCGAGAAGGGGTGGATTGTATATTGAAATTTAGCGAGGTACGTTTTTTTTTTGTTTTAAATCTGAGTCGTTGAGAGAAAGAAATGTTGGTAAGCATCATTCACTTCCTTTATAAAAATTCAAATTAGAGTATGAAGAATGTATAATCTAGAAAAGAATAAAAGAAGAACAGAAAGACTAGAAGAAAAAACAGCAAACAAAATTAAATTTAAACGATTGGCAATGTTAATGAGAATGACAAGTTTGTTTACTATTTTGAAGTATTAAGTTAAAGAAAATGCAAACTACTATGAAAGAAATAAGAAAGAAAATAATTAGTCTGATGTTTTCTTTTTTGGCCTTCGGCTAGCAACGCCATACAGCCAATTACTAAGTACGATAGAAGGTTAGAAGTAAGAGTTAAGTTAAACAGTTATAGCCTATATGTTAAAGTAAATTGTCAAAGTAAAGTAAATTGTTAAAGTAAAGTAAATTCTTAAAGTAAAGTAAATTGTTAAATTAAAGTGTTAAAGTAATTTTTTAAAGTAAGTTGTTAAAGTAAATTGTTAAAGTAAAGTAAATTGTTAAATTAAATTGTTTAAGTAATTTTTTAAAGTAAGTTGTAAATTGTTAAAGTAAATTGTTAAAGTAAATTGTTCAAGTAAATTGATAAAGTAAATTGTTAAAGTAAATTGTTAAAGTAAATTGTTAAAGTAAATTGTTAAAGTAAATTGTTAAAGTAAATTGTTAAAGTAAATTGTTAAAGTAAATTGTTAAAGTAAATTGTTAAAGTAAATTGATAAAGTAAATTGTTAAAGTAAATTGTTAAAGTAAATTGTTAGTCATATGTTCTTAATAAATATGCTAATACTGTTCCACTTTTAAGACGATTGTTACATTAGACGAAGTTTCAATAGAAGACTATTTATTTTATTGAAATTATATTTATTCTTTAAGTGGCGAAGACGATAAATGTGAATATTTTTAAACCTTTTAGTGAAGAAGACGAATAAATAATTTTTAAATTGGAGAAGACAATTTAATTATTTTTAAATAAAGACAATTTTATTATTTTTAAGCGTGGAGAAGACGATTTGTTGATTTTTCAGTTTTATAGTGGAAAGCACCACTTCATAATATGTCGAAAATATTTTACTTCTCATGTGTTTTTAAATTTTTAGAAGAAATAATAATCCCATTGTGCTAAATCCAGAGAATAGAACGGATAGTCAACCAATTCAAAACCAATCGCATACATTTTTTTTTCATCGCAATTAACGAATTGTAAGCAATCAATGTATTGTAAATAGGGGCAATAGAAACATTGTTTTTAAAAAAAAAAAAACAGTTTTGGCAAAATAATTTGCTTTTCCAATAATGTTACCCTTTTCCAAACAATCTGTCAAATTTATTTTCTTATCTTTGTCCCAACAAAGCCAAAACCATGCCAGCTAATTTTTACTCTTGAATCCAATTCATGAATCAATATTTTCGGAGTGATTACAGAAATTGGTCTTCCATAGCGATTCTGATCTTTAACATGTGATATTCCTCTCTTAAATTCTGTAACTCAGTTTTTAATAGTAGCATATTAAGGACAATGGGCTGACAATTATTTCAAGACCGAAACCCAAAGTTTTCAAAAACTAGTTTTTTTCCAAAAAAACTCAATTCAATCACGGTTCAACTTATGAATATTAAACTCCAACAACTTATTTATAAAACTTTATAGTTGTTACCATATTAATCATATTCAACTTTATTTATTGTTTCGGCCTTTACTTGATGAAAATCCATTTTATCTTGAATGAGTAAAACCAAATTTGGTAGATTTTCACAAAACATATTGCACACCGCAAAAGTAATTTAAAATACCATAGGGCCAAAAAGCTAGTTTTAGCTTTTAGCACAAAATATTTCATTTTTCAACGGTTGTAAGAAACAGAATGTGTTTCCAAAGTATATGAGATTGAAAACTCATAACAGTACTCCAGGAGCGAAAAAAGGAAAAGAAGCAGGATTAAAGAAGTGGTTGTCAGAAGATAAGAATAAAGAATATTCCAAAAAAGATTGTTTCAACATATACACTAAGGTAATACATACTGAATTATCTCACAAATTACATTTCATAGAATTTGAAATTGTAGATAAAAACATTAGGGAGCAGATTAGTCAAATTATTCATAAAAAAATTATTAGACAACAGGAAAAATTAAAATCACTTACTTTTAAAAAATCCATAATACCTAAACAAAAATCAGAACAGAACACAAATAAAATATCGGATCATACATTTTTTAAAAGATTTGTTAACTTAACTACCACAAATTTCTCTGATCCAGAACAATATCTAATAGAAAAAGGGTTTAAACACAACATCGCACCTAAGATAAATACTTCGAACTTAGAAATTTTGGGAATAGAAACAGAAATCGCTTTAAAAGATTCATATAATACTTTGTCTCACAAATATCATACAGCGAATATAATTGAAACACAATTTTTACGTAATAACAATTCAAATCAAGACAGTAAGTTAATTAAAACTATAAAGGATAAAGCAAAACAGGATGATATCATTTTCACTCGTGCTGATAAGGGAAATACAGTAATTGCTATTAATAATATAGATTATATTGACAAAACTCTTTCATTTTTACAAGCAAGCAATAATTATAGCATACTCAAATTTGATCCAACATATAAATATCAAAAAGAACTAAAACGTAATATTCGGAATTCAACAGCAATTTTTGATTCTAGAGAAAAATTTAAACTAATACAAATGAACCCTCAACCACCACAACTTTATTCTTTAATAAAATTACACAAAGAGAACTATCCTATTAGACCAGTTGTATCATTTGTCACGGCTCCATCAGTTAAACTTTCACATACAATAATTAAACTTATACAAGAAAACTGCAAATTCCATTCAAAGTATAGTATAAAAAATTCTTATGAATTAACAGAAAAATTAAAAAACCTTAAATTACCTAGTAACACAAAATTAGTATCGTTCGATGTAACAAACTTATTTCCTAGTATACCTCCTAAAGAAACAGTTAAGCTAGTAGAAAACTTATTAGATCGTAATAATAAATAATAGTATAATTCGAGAATTGTTGTTGAGGACTTACTTTCTCGTGAGGCACTGTACAAATACTCACATTTAAAAAAAATTCTCAAAAATTTGCAAGGTAAGGTATAGTTAAAAGTTCAGTATTAGATAAATAAGGACTTCAACTATTAGAAAAAAATTAATTTTAGTCATAATCTAATAACTTTTTTTTTAACATTTGAGGCGAGAGGTGTGGCGAAAGGACCTCGTTAAGTACTTTGTTTTATTAAATTATTTCGCATATATATTGGATACCGAATTGTAAATTAGTCACATTTGAAAAAGAAGTTGTACTTCGAAACATGTCATGTATAGTGTTTTTAATTTTTTAATTTTTATTTTTTAAAATAAAAATATTCAACTTTGATTACTGGAACCTTTCTCGACTAACTAAATAAATACGTCTTCGTAATACATTTATTAAAACTACCTTAAAATGAAATTAATACCATAATCTCGATAAGACGAAAAGGCCTGTAGATATACTCACATTTAAATATTTTACAAAATTAAAAACAGTCCCACATGCAAGAATTGTTATTGAAACCAATAAATTTAATAGCGGAAAATGTTTCCCCATCAGAAAATAAATCCCACTGTTTTATATGTGTCATAATTCCTCGTTATAGTTGCTTATAAAACCCATTTCTTATGATTAATTAACACATCTTCATAAATTCCCGGTTATTATCCAGTAGGGACCAGCAGCGCTCTCTTTCTCCCTTGCTTTCGCCTCTTTCTTCGTCTGCTAATACTTTTAATGTTTTTAGTCCATCTCTTTTGCATATATTGTTACAGTCGGTGATTTTGATTAAAAGGATTGCTCAAGAGGATGCCGAACTTTTAACAGAAGTGTTTTTATTCTAAAATATAAGTTAAATAATGTCAAAAATACAGTTTTTGTTTATTTTTCAATTTCAAAATATAACTATTACTTATTGTTTTTAGAGTTAGAAGGTAAATATTTCATTATTATTTTATGTGTTTGTGACCAATCAGTAAGAACCTTAAAATAGAAAAAAAAAAGCTGCTAATGGTGACATTACTCAACGATGGATCATTCCGGTATTTTTAAACTTTTTTATAAATTGGTAAAAAATTTTTTGAGCTAAAGTTCAATATAGTTTTACTTTATTTGTAATGTATACTTAGTTATTAAAAAAATAGGAACTTTTACAGAAGCGTGCAAAGAAACCTTAAAAGTTATCATAAATTATGAAAAAACATGAAATGTTTGTAAGATATTTTTTTTTTTTTAAACAACGTTTTCAGCACATGCTTTAAAACGTTATCACGAGCAAACGACCAGTTGTCTATTTCCTGCACAATAGTTTCCATGAGCATCATTTTTATCACTAGTTTTTGATATACAGGGTATTAAAGTTGCAAAGTGCCTCTTAGCAAACTACTCTTATTACATATATTTTTAAAGAATATTCCTTTACTTATATCAAACAATATTTGCAGTTTAACATATGGCGTAAATTAATATTGATGAATGAAGTCACAAACATCGCTGACATTTACCCTTTATGATTTGCACTTCTATACTTCTCTATTAGTGACAACCCAAAGAAGTATGTAAGGGTGTTAACACAGAGAAAAGATGGTCCTTTGTTAACTACTGGTATCTTTCCAGAGATTTGTGCCTTACATTACAAACAGTGGCGACTCATGGTAATTTAAAATGGGTGTTCACTTTTTCCAATCATTTTATCATTTGTAAGTTCGGTTCAAAACTTTGTTTTTTTATTATTTGAGTTTGTATTAAGTGTGGTTATTATTTTCAATATCATACCGTTTTCAAGCACTACAACTATTAATAAATGCAATATTTGTTTTATTTTTAATAGGTTGAAAATGATCTATAAACATTATTAGTTAGTAAACTGACTTTTCTTCATAATTTGAGATTATTTTTAAATATAGCTATATCAAGTTATGTAGTAAGCTTAACATTGATTTTTGTGTAAAAAATATTATATGAAACTTTACCTACCATTTTTCAGTTTTATTGTAAGTTTAATAATTTTCACAATTTGTCACAGATGTCAAATAAAAAATATATTCTTCGCAGTTTAACAGACCCCTTAACCCCCATTTTCAACTAGATTGTTTTCACAATCAATAGGCCTCATCTCCTTATAGAGCTTGATTTTTACTAAAAATTTCATGTTGATATGGCTTTTCATTTTGGATTTTTTTTTAATTTCAACCCTTTCTTAAATTACTCATATTTAATCAGATTTTTTTTTATAATTAAAGGGTTTATCTTCCTTTTAGAACTTGATGTTTGCTATAAATTTCAAGTTGATAACATTTTTCGTTTTTCATTTAGGATTTTTTTTTTAATATTTTAACCCCCCTTAACTTCCCAATATATTCTATTTTTTTCAGTATCAATAGGCTTTATCTTTTCATAAAGCTTCATTTTTACTAAAAATTTCATGTTGATATTGCTTTTCATTTTTAATTTAGAATTTTTTTTTTTAATTTCAACTCATCTTAACCCCCTATTTTTAATCAGATTTGTTAAAAATCAATAGGCTTTGTTCCCTTATAGAGTTTGATATTTGCTTAAAATTTTCAAGTTGATATCATTTTTCGTTTTTGACTTATCGTGCAGACAAAAAACGTGACATCGGAGAGACAGACAAAGTAAACCTATAATACTCTTCACAGAATATTGTATAAAGAGTAGAAAAAAAATGTATAGGGTAAAATAAACAGTTTAAAGAGGTCAACAATAATATTTAACTTCTTTTATCAAAGGATATTAAAAGTTTAAAACAGGTTAATCGGCTTCATCTGTATTTTCAAATTATTGTTTAATTGTAGATAGATATTAATGTTTTGATATGTACTTATAGGATTGATTACCCAGAGTATGTAGATATGTGGAACGTGACTTGTTAAGTCCCTAATCAAAATTTATTTGATACTTATTGCTCTTTTCGAGACACACTTTATTACCAACTGTAAACTAATTTACCAACAGCCTTATTTTTATTTAATACCCGCAGGTGATTCAAATTACCAATACATCTTATATTTTTGAAAATACTAAATTATACAAACAAGGCAATAAAATAATGTCATTAAAATAAAAGATTTCAGGTTTATATGGAACACACAATATAGGCTAGAGAGTAACACGATTGATAATTACAGGCAAACATACTTAAATAAACTATATAAATGTACATACCATTTCGCATGATTAACTGGTTGATCCATTTTTCCGATTCAGACTTTTAAAGTGAAAAACCATTTGTCTCTTTATTTTTATCAAACGTTTATTGTAAATTTTCATTTCCATAATGATTTCAAGTAGTTACCTTATCAGAATAATCATTTTTTTCCATTTAGCGGGTTTTGTGGGAAACAAAAAATTAACAAATTTTTTGCTTACTTCTTACTTCATAGTATTTACAGTTGGGTACAAAATAGACCATAGAACGGTCTTAGACACTTTATCTTTATCAAACGATATTGTACATTTCCATTTCCATAATGATGTCAAGTAGTTACCTTATCAGAATAATCAAATTTTTTGTCTTTTAGTGGGTTTTTTGGGAAACAAAAATTAACAAATTTTTTGCTTACTTATTGGTTTATAGTATTTACAGATGGGTACAAAATAGACCATAAAATGGTATTAGACACTTTATCTTTGTCAAACGTTATTATACATTTATATTTCCATAATGATGTCAAGTAGTTACCTTATCAGAATAATCAATTTTTTCCTTTTAGTGGGTTTTGTGGGAAACAAAAAATTAACAAATTTTTTGCTTACTTCTTACTTCATATTATTTACAGTTGGGTACAAAATAGACCATAGAACAGTCTTAGACACTTTATCTTTATCAAACGATATTGTACATTTCCATTTCCATAATGATGTCAAGTAGTTACCTTATCAGAATAATCAAATTTTTTACCTTTTAGCGGGTTTTATGGGAAACAAAAAATTTACAAATTTTTTGCTTACTTCTTACTTCATAGTATTTACAGTTGGGTACAAAATAGACCATAGAATGGTCTTAGACACTATATCTTTATCAAACGTTATTATACCTTTATATTTCCCATAATGATGTCAAGTAGTTACCCTATCAAAATAATCAAATTTTTCCTTTTAGCGGGTTTTGTGGGAAACAAAAATTTAAATTTTTTTTGGTTACTTCTTACTTCATAGTAATTACAGTTGGGTACAAAATAGAACATAGAATGATCTTAGATACTAAACCAAAATATAAAACATTAGATTCGTAAAACTAGGTTATAGTTAAATAAACAACTATAAAATTTTATTTACCTTGCCTTAAAAAAGTTTTTCGGGAACAATCGTTGAACTGACACACATACTTTCAATTTATTAATGTCACAGTTCTTAATTAAACACAT